ACAAAAACCACCCACAACCTCACCCCAACACACAACAAATAATAAATTACACACAACAAACACAAACCAAACCCACACCATAACCCCAAAACCCACATAATAAACATAACCATAACATCCCTATAATTTTTTCTTTCCCACATACCAACATACAAAAAATATCCACCCCCCACCCTTTCCTCTCCAACTAATCTTCCTTACATAAATACTCCATTACCACATCAACATCCTCCCCCAAACATCACACCATTATCATATCCTCATAATCATATCTATTATCATATCCTCTTATCATACCCTAATATCATACCCTCTTAATCATATCCTATTAACATACCCTATTTATCCTACCCCATTATCATCCAATTATCTACCCCCTATATATAACCCTATAATCATACCCTAATAATCATATCCATTATCTACAACAAACATACCAATTATCCTACCCTATTATCATACCCAATTATCATACCCTATAATCATACCCTAAAATCAAACTCATTTCTAATCATATCCAATTATCCTACCATATTATCATACCAAAATCATCTATTCTTACCCAAATATCTCCCCAATACACCTACCCCCCTAACATCAACCTCCCACACAAAACAAAATCAAAAACCACACACAAAATATCCAACCAATCTCCATAAAAATTCCCCATATTACACTAAAAAAAAACCCCACATACATCACCCTCTCACTCACTCCACTCTACTCACATTAAAAACAACAATCAACTAACTCACACATATAACATTCTCTTTACTCCCATTTCAAAACAAAAACAAACAAAAAAAAATACACAAACACAACACACTCAACACAAACACACAAGAAAACAACCAAAAACACAACACAAACAACAACAACAAACACACAAAACACACAACAACAACAACAAACACAAACCAACACACAAACAACACACAACACAAAAACACACTAAAAACAAAAACACACAAAACAAAACAAAAACACAAACAAAAACACACACAACAAAAAAAACCCCACCACAAACAAAACCAACACAAACAACAAAAACAAAAACCATCACCAAACCACACATCACAACCCCATCAATACTCACAAACCCAACCCCAAACATCCACCATAAAAACACCCACACCCAAAATCACACCTACACCCCCAACCCTAAAAACACACAAACTACCCCTCCAAAAATACCCTACACCATAAACCTCCCATCCAAACAACCTACACCACCCAACATATAAAATATCCCTTCTACCCACACCCAAATCCTTATTAACCAAAAAAAACACTACCCAAATAATAAATATATCATATACACACTCACCCAACACAATACAAAAAAAAACACCACCCAAACTAACAACACCATAACCCACAACATACACAAAAACAAACCCATAAACACTCACCAATCAAAAAATTAACCATAAAACCACTACCCAATAACATAAAAAAACCATAAACCCCACCACTCACAAAATACAACCAAACCCAAAAAAAACTAACCAAATCCCACCAACCAAAAAATCCAATAACAAACTACCCCAACCAACACACAACAAACACAACAACACACACCATCAAAACTCACACATAAACAACAACAACTAAAAACAAAAAACTACCATATCCAATTCATAAATCCCTATACCCACTCACCCAAAAATAAACAACCAACAACCCCCAATCCCAAAAAAAAAAAAACAAAACCCAACCCAAAAAATTAACTCACCCAAAAAAAACATTAAAAATCATAAAAAAATAATCACTTACATCAATCCAAACAAAAAATCATCTAACACCTACCAATAAATAATCCTTCTATAACTTATAACATATCTCACCCACCAACTTACAACTTCCAACAAAACCAACATTAAACCCACCACAACAAACCAAACTAATATACTACAAACAAAACTAAATACTAAAACCACCACACACAATCCCACACAACAAACTAACAACACTACATCCACTTTTATCTATAACTACCAAACTCACACTACTAAACTCACTACTCAAACTCCCAAAAATCTCCAACTAATTATCCTATCCCAAATTAATCCTAACCACCCCAACCAATTAACCTAAAAACCACCACAACAAACCCACCACAAAAAAACACAACCACATCCCCCCCATCCCAAACCCCAAAACAACTCCACACCCCTATACCATCAAATAATTCAATTCCACTCACCCAACAACTTCACTACTACATCATCTCCATCCATTCCTTAAACCAAAACCATCCTTACCCAACTACCAACACCATCCACTAACCATACCTCTCTCCCATACTTCCCATCAAATTCCTCTACCCATTACCTCCTAAACCATTCTTCCATAATTTCTAAACCATACTACCTCCTTACATAAACATCCCATAATTCCACTAAACCATTACACCTCCTCTACCACTACTTCCATCAAATTCCCCTTAAACCATAACCCTCACCCATATTCCACATTCCTTAACCCATTACTTAATACTTCCCAACCTACCTTAAACCCATACATCCCTACCATATTCCCATCACATTCCTTAAACCCATTACACCACTACCATACTTCCTACCATACCTCTAAACCAATACCTCCTCAACATACTTCCATCAACACTTCCTCTAAACCAATACTCCTCTACAAACATCCCATCCTTCTCTAAAATTACCACTCTACATACCATTCCATCAACATTCTTAAACAAACCACATCCCTACTTCCACTATCACCATACCTCTAAACCATAACCTCTCTACCCATACTTCAAACTTCCTTAACCCCATTACCTTCTACCAAACACAACCAATCTCTAACATTCCACTTCAAACTCTCCAACATTCCCCTCTAAACCCTTACTCCTTCTACCTACTTCCCAATCAATTCTCTAAACAATTACTCCTTAAATACATTCCATCACCATCCTCTAAACCCATACTCCTTACATACTTCCATCACATTTCTAAACCATTCTCCCTCCTACTTCTCATAACAAAATTAATTCTACTATCTCACCAAATTAACCTCTATTATACTTCCCCAATCTCAAAAATTCTCCCCTTACCCTACCTCAAAAATATAAAACAACAAACACATCACTAACCATACCACTACCTCATACACAACCACATATATAATATAATCATTAACCCATAACCCTAATCATAAAAAAAACATAACCCACACAACTCAACAATTAATCCAACATTAAATAACCCCAACATACAACAAAAAAACAACCTTAATTAAAATCAATAAAAAAAATCTTATCTACCATACACACTATATATAATATATAAACAAATAAATCAAATACTACTTACCCACCCTAAACTCTCAATAATCTAATAATCCCCATCCCCACAACCCATATATAACAACAACAATCCCAAAACCACCCCACCCTCCAATCACACAACATCCCTAACAAACCCCCATCCTCACCATCCAAAATTATTTCAACCCACACCTCACCAAAACACACTATCATTAATCTCCTTCCCCCCCCCACCCCTCATCTATAACCCATATTCAACCTTACCCCTTAACTCAATATAAATAATCACTCCCCCCTTTCCCCTACCATTAAATCCATCATCCTCATCTAAACCAAACCCCCCCTAATAAATCCCTTTAACATCCCAACCCCCAAACCCCTCTCAATCCCCCAATTAAATCCCCCAAAACCTACCCTCAACCATCACAAACTCCACACACCCTCAACACTCAACACAAACTAACCCTACCAATTAAACAACACAACACACTCATACAAACACCAATCTTCCATTCACACATATAAATAATAAAAAACCCACTAAAATAACAATAACACCACACCCCACAACAACCCAAACTACCAAATCTAAAATTTATCATTAATTATAAAAATAACAATCTTAATTAATTAATATACAAACATATTCAAACCCCACTATCCATAATCCTTTCCCCCCTATCTATAATCAACTCCTAATCCCCCCCCACATCCCATCACACCCACAAACCCACCACCATACCACACACCAACAAACACACATAACCCAACCCACCACCACCATACCCAAAACACAAACCCTAACCACACAACCCCAACACACCCCTCCAACAAAACCCCACCTACAACCCCCCACCTACAACACCACCACCCAACAATCCCCCAATAAAATACAACACAAAAAAAACCATAAAAAAACAAATACAACAAAAAAAACACAAAAAAAAAACAAACAACACAAAACCACACATCCAAAACACACTCAAACCACCAAAAAAAACAACCAAACAAAAAAAACCCACCAACACACCCCCAACCCCACCACCCCAAAACACCAACCCCCCCACCAACCAACAACAACAAAAAACAAAACACAAAAATCTTTTTAACAAATAAAAAACTGAAAAGTGGGGCGTGCAATATTATTCGGCCCCTTTACTTTCAGTGCAGCAAACTCACTCCAGAAGTTCAGTGAGGATCTTTGAATGATCCAATGTTGTCCCTAAAGACTGATGATGATAAATAGAATGCACCAGTGTGTAATCAAGTCTCCGTATAAATGCACCTGCTCTTTGATAGTCTCAGGGTTCTGTTTAAAGCAGAGAGAACCATGAAGACAAAGGAACACACCAGGCAGGTCCGAGATACTGTTGTGGAGAAGTTAAGCCGGATTTTGGATACAAAAAGATTTCCCAAGCTTTAAACATCTCAAAACCGAGAACACTCTACTCCAACAACATTTACAGCTAGAAACAAAGCAAGCACTGTCTCAAAGCTACTTAGGATTTGCTGCTGTTTCCTGCATATTCAGAGAAAAGCCTTTGAATTTACAGACAGTCACTTTAAATAATCCCACATCAGTTTGTTGGACCACCGTGAGCCGTGTACCTGCTGTAATCCTCTCAGATTAGCGGCTCACAGAATATCATATCTGCAAATGTCAGAGAAAGACCGTCTCTAGAGCCTGAGCACCGGAGCTCTCACTCACTGTCACATGACCCACTCCACAGAGCAGGATCAACCTCACAGAGCACCCAGGACCCCCACACAGCACCCCAAGACCTACATACAGCACCCCAAGACCTACATACAGCACCCCAAGACCTACAGACAGCACCCCAAGACCTACATACAGCACCCCAAGACCTACATACAGCACCCCAAGGACCTCACATACAGCACCCCAAGACCTACATACAGCACCCCAAGACTACATACAGCACCCCAAGACCTACATACAGCACCCCCAAGACCTACATACAGCACCCCAAGAACCTACATACAGCACCCCAAGACCTACATACAGCACCCAATACCTACAAGCACCCCAAGACTACATACAGCACCCAAGACCCACATACAGCAACCACAAGACCTACATTCAGCACCCCAGGACCCCCACACAGCACCCCAAGACCCACATACAGCACCCCAGACCTACATACAGCACCCAAAGACCTACATACAGCACCCTCAAGACTCACATACAGCACCCCAAGACCTACATACAGCACCCCAAGACCTACATACAGCACCCCAATACCTACATACAGCTCCCCAAGACCCACATTACAGCACCTCAAGACCTACATACAGCACCCCCAAGGACCCAAACCCCATACAGCAACCCAAGACCTACATTCAGCACCCCAGGACCCCCACACAGCACCCCAAGACCCACATACAGCACCCCCCTCATACAGCACCCAAGCCACATACAGCACCCAAGACCTACATACAGCACCCCCAAGACCTACATACAGCACCCCAACCAAGACCTACATACAGCACCCCAAGACCTACATACAGCACCCCAGACCCACATACAGCAACCGAACTACATTCAGCACCCAGCCCCTCACAGCACCCAGACCACATACAGCACCCCAAGACCTACATACAGCACCCCAAGACCCACATACAGCAACCCAAGACCCACTTCAGCACCCCAGACCCCCACACAGCACCCAAGACCCACATACAGCACCCCAAGACCTACATACAGCACCCCAGGACCCTCATACAGCACCCAAGACCTACATACAGCACCCCTGGACCCCCACAGAGCACCCCAGGACCTACATCAGTCTGACTACTTCCAGACAGACATCTTTGTTTATTTGTGTTGGTTTTAGACGACTTCAAAATCAGATATTGCAATAATTTTTTTGTTGGCCAACTATTATCTCTGGGGCCACAGTGGGATATTGGTCTTTTGTGGACGGCCGGGGACTCATTTTCATTTGCTATGTCCTAATTGACAGAGCACCAGTCCCTCACTGATCCTCCTGGTGAGACCTTGATGCTTCAGTGGGGGCTTCAGGCAAAGTGGGGTCAAAGTGGGGTCTTGGCCAGGAACACAACGACAGGCAGGCATCAGAGGGAGTCGGTGGAGGAGGTCTTGTTGGGGGATTGAAACCCAAGACCGTTAGGACCGAATGCTCTACCAACTGAGCTACAGTACTGTCGCCGCAATTTTTAGCGTGGTTTGAGAGTGAGCTCAGTAATTAAAGAAGGAGGAAACGCCAATGTTCTCTTTGTGGTTTGTGGGGTCATGTGTTCTTTTGCATCTGCGGTTATAATTAGCAGTTTTGTGGTCGGTAGAGAACAGATGGATGCACTTTCATAGTGTTTATTAGTATTTATTTCTCTGTAACCAGCGACTGCAGATAGAAACTCAGTACGCACAGAATATTCACAAGTCTGGAGGTGGTGTACATTTCCTCTCAATTGTCGCAATAACAGGCGTGAAAAAGGCGGTTGCTGCATATTTATAGGCGTGACTTAATATATACGTAATTATGTTGGAATTCAGGCGCTGGGCAGTTTACCAACAGCCGCAGGTGCGTACCTCAGATCTGGGCGGATCTCAACGCGTTCGTAAATCCCACGTTGGATCTTTCGTATTTGGAATCTACACCTGAAATTTACACCCTTTTCTGTGCAAGTTTCACATATGAGGGCCATGGTCTCTGTACACTGTCTCTTTAAAAAGATTAGATATGGTGATTTTAATTGCTTGTTTTAATGGTTTTAATGATGTGATTTAATTGTGTTTTTAATGGTGATATTCATGTTTTATATGATGATTTGTGGCGCTCGATAAATTTAGATGCATTTATTGATTGGATGAAGATGAACTGAACACATACAGTGGGGCAAAAAAGTATTTAGTCAGCCTCCGATTGTGTAAGTTCTCCCACTTAAAATAATGACAGAGGTCTGTAATGTTCATCATAGGTTCACTTCAACTGTGAGAGACAGAATGTGAAAAAAAATCCAGGGATTCACATTGTAGGATTTTTGAAGAATTTATTTGTAAATGATGGTGGAAAATAAGTATTTGGTCACTTCAAACAAGGAAGATCTCTGGCTCTCACAGACCTGTAACTTCTTCTTTAAGAAGCTCTTCTGTCCTCCACTCGTTACCTGTATTAATGGCACCTGTTTGAACTCATCTGTATAAAAGACACTTGTCCACAGCCTCAAACAGTCAGACTCCAAACTCCACTATGGCCAAAACCAAAGAGCTGTCCAAGGACACCAGGAAAAGAATTGTAGACCTGCACCAGACTGGGAAGAGTGAATCTACAATAGGCAAGCAGCTTGGTGTGAACAAATCAACTGTGGGAGCAATTATCAGAAAATGGAAGACATACAAGACCACTGATAATCTCCCTCGATCTGGGGCTCCACGCAAGATCTCATCCCGTGGGGTCAAAATGATCATGAGAACGGTGATCAAAAGTCCCAGAACCACACGGGGGGACCTGGTGAATGACCTGCAGAGAGCTGGGACCAAAGTAACAAAGGTTACCATCAGTAACACACTACGACGACAGGGAATCAAATCCTGCAGTGCCAGACGTGTCCCCCTGCTGAAGCCAGTGCATGTCCAGGCCCGTCTGAAGTTTGCCAGAGAGCACATGGATGATACAGCAGAGGATTGGGAGAATGTCATGTGGTCAGATGAAACCAAAGTACAACTGTTTGGTATAAACTCAACTCGTTGTGTTTGGAGGAAGAAGAACACCATACCTACTGTGAAGCATGGGGGTGGAAACATCATGCTTTGGGGCTGTTTTTCTGCTAAGGGGACAGGACGACTGATCCGTGTTAAGGAAAGAATGAATGGGGCCATGTATCGTGAGATTTTGAGCCAAAACCTCCTTCCATCAGTGAGAGCTTTGAAGATGAAACGTGGCTGGGTCTTCCAGCATGACAATGATCCCAAACACACCGCCCGCGCAACGAAGGAGTGGCTCCGTAAGAAGCATTTGAAAGTCCTGGAGTGGCTCCGTAAGAAGCATTTGAAAGTCCTGGAGTGGCCTCGCCAGTCTCCAGACCTCAACCCCATTGAAAATCTGTGGAGGGAGTTAAAAGTCCATGTTTACTGCTTTCGAGAAGATCTGCATGGAGGAATGGGCCAAAATACCAGCTACTGTGTGTGCAAACCTGGTAAAGACCTATAGTAATCGTTTGACCTGTTATTGTCAACAAAGGTTATATTACTAAGTAGGGCTGGGCGATTAATCGATTTTAATCATTAATTCGAGTTTTACATTTAGGGCGATTTCTTTTTTTAAAAATTCGATTTTTATTTTCTCCATCGCAGAACTACAGCGCTAACGCGCTAACCGCGGGTCTATGGTGTTGAGCAGTCATTTTGAAGCTAACCTAATGCTAACAGTCTCCCTCTGGCCTGATGCTCGCTCTCACAGTTGGTGCTGTTGCAATAACACTTCAAACGTTCAAGAATCAGACTTTATTTAAATCGCCAGAACACACACACACACGCACGCAGGCTCCGGTCGCTATGTTCGTACGCCACATCTTTCACGCTCGTTATTCCAAAGCGCACTCCCGTGTCCGTGGCGCGCACACACTCGTGTCCCACTGAGCCGCTGCACTTTGGGGAAAGACACGTCTCACACATTGCTCTCATTGCTCTGATACAAACAACGTGTTCCCCGCTGTCTGTTAGCTACAGTAGCTGCTAGCTACAGTAGCTGTTAGCTACAGTAGCTGTTAGCTACAGTAGCTGTTAGCTACAGCATCAGAATGTAAACAGGAAGCTCGCACAATGCGGGAGTCACTGAAGTTAGTATTAGCGCCACCAGCTGGACCGAGCGTTGTACTACAGCACAGTTACTCAGGCACAGTTGAAAGAACAAGCATGAAAACCCGAGGAGGCTTTTGGAAAAGACTGTCTGTTACAACATTTCTATTTTGAGTAATCAGTTTTAAAAATGTGATATTTCATGTAAATAATGCATGTGTTTAATAGGATTGATATATTTGCGATGGGCCTTGTTTGTGTGATTTAAGTTATTTTGAAGGTGCATAGTGTCATTGTAAGTGAAGTTATTATAAAACTGTTAAGCTAAATTTTCACTGTTTACAATGGCAGAGCCATCTCGTTTACAAGCATGTTTTAAGGCTTAATTCCTGTTACACTTATGCTCCATGGGGATTTAGATTGAACTGCATAAAGGAAAATCTATTTCTTTGTCAGTTGTAGTTTGTTTTTAAATAGAAAAAAATAAATCGATTAAAATCGGAAATCGGATTTGGTGTGAAAAAATCGGAGATTTTTTTTTTTTGCCATATCGCCCAGCCCTATTACTAAGTATTGAGTTGAGTTTCTGTTATTGACCAAATACTTATTTTCCACCATCATTTACAAATAAATTCTTTAAAAATCCTACAATGTGAATTCCTGTTGTTTTCACATTCTGTCTCTCACAGTTGAAGTGAACCTATGATGAACATTACAGACCTGTCATTATTTTAAGTGGGAGAACTTGGACAATCGGAGGCTGACTAAATACTTTTTTGCCCCACTGTATATGTGCGTGTATGTTTGTGCCTGTATATTAGTGCGTGTATAGTTGTGTGTGTATATCTGTGCGTGTACAGTTGTGTGTCCATCTTCTGCAGCTAACCGTGTGTGTAATGAGTCCCCTGTCCCCCCATCACTCAGCCTTCTCCGTGGTCGTCTGTGGCGTGTGTGCGAAGGCTTACTGCGGCCGCCGCCATAATCCCCGGCCTTATACAAACACATATAAAACATCCCCAGTCCCTTCACTATTAACTGGGCAAAAGGGAGTGTACGCGGACCCGTGAGTTGGAATCGTTCAGAGACGTGAGAGAGAGGGGAGTTAGCAGCGACTCTAACCCAATTTCCTGCTCCATTTCCTCTTCACGGGCCGGGCGCGTCCTATTCCACGGCGGCATGGGCGCGACACCAGGCATCCTACAGCCCCGGGTCACGCCTTTTACCTGAGAGTCACACACTGTAAATAAATTACTGGCTTCTCTTACGAATTGACCTCTCGGCGCACCACAAAACCAATGATGACAACACTGAAAACCGGTCAAACTGTAAATCTTTTTGGATTGGCCGCTCGACCTTTTGAGAACTGTGTTTTGTGATGTCCTGACAAAAGGTACACATTGTGTTGGGGAAAGAGTGGCTGCTATAAACCATGGCTAAATTGTGTTTTTATTGATTTTTCTAACATGATTCAGATTGTTCCAAACATTACAGTCACAAATGTCCTTTCATCTGCAGCGTATGCATCGAGTCACAAATAACATGTATTTCTACAAAAGGTCAACGACACTGTGTGGTTTGTTAAATTCCTCTGAAGGTCAGTTACGTACGCTAGAAAATAAGCTCTAGTGTAATAGCCTGCGACATGTTCTATAAGTTTGTGTACGCTCTCCGTCGTACGGGGATTATTCTAAACAAATGTTGGTCACCATCATCTGTGCTTCAGTTAGCATCATCTGTACTTCAGTTAGCATCATCTGTACTTCAGTTAGCATCATCTGTACTTCAGTTAGCATCATCTGTGCTTCAGTTAGCATCATCTGTACTTCAGTTAGCATCATCTGTGCTTCAGTTAGCATCATCTGTGCTTCAGTTAGCATCATCTGTACTTCAGTTAGCATCATCTGTACTTCAGTTAGCATCATCTGTGCTTCAGTTAGCATCATCTGTGCTTCAGTTAGCATCATCTGTACTTCAGTTAGCATCATCTGTGCTTCAGTTAGCATCATCTGTGCTTCAGTTAGCATCATCTGTGC